ATTATCTTCCTCTAAACTATTTATCCTATTGCATTCTGCAGAATATGTATTGTTTACCTTTATAGTTAGTTTTAGTTGCACTCTTTTTATTTCTTTAAATTCATTATATTTTTGATTTAACTTTTTGGCTGCTTTTAATTGTTCACAATTTTTTTTTAAATGCCCTTCATTATCACAAAAGTAACAGAGTTTTGGGGTCTCTTTCTATTCTGTAACAACCTTCTGATTCATAATGCTTATGTATCTTGAAATTTTTTGTGAAAGACCTGTATCATTTGTTACATTAAAAACTACAATTTACTAATCAGATTGTATTAGTATGCCTTTATAAAGTAACAGTTTTATAGCCATAATAATGCTCATATTATCAACAACCTTAATTTCCTTAGTAATTACTTTCTTACTAGCAATAAGTACTTTTCTAAGCCTTATTGTTAGTAGTGACTGATTTTGTCTAGTTGAGATAAATCTATAAAAGTTTTGTTATAATATCATCAAGCCTTCTTTGGTATATCTCTCTATGCATTGCTTATCAGCAAATATTAATTCAAAGTAAGAATGAGTTTCTTTATCAAAATGTGGTCTTGCATAGATAAAATCTAACTTGATCTTATTGTATAATATGGCAACTATATTATTGGTAGAGATGTTTCCAAGACTCTGAATGTCAAAAATTAAAGCATTATTGTTCTTTATATGTATATTCATCTAGACAGAAAAACCAAAATATGTAGCTTTTCCTTTCATCAACTTAGTAAATAAACTAGACCAAAATTTGGCTATTTGCATTGTAGAAGTTTTAATTTTATTATAAAAACTTGCATCTACTTGCAGGTTAGGTGAGAGTTTATTACCTGATTTTCTATCACTGTTATGAGAACTTTCTATACAGAAGGTATTTGTATTATTCATGTTTTCTGCAGCAGTATTATTACCTTTTATACTAGCAGTTGCTAGGTTTTTAACTATATTTTTATGTTTAAGAAGTTTCATTTAGTCTGTGCATATGCTAACTGTTGTATTTGGAAAAGTATTTCTAGGTGATTCCAAAGTTGCTTTTCTTTTTACATGTGTATCATTACTCTCTAAACCTTCAAACTCTAAAAAGCATAACTTTTTAATTTTTTTCCTATGTTCTTCATTGCTTTCTAAGAAAAAAGTATTTTATTTTCTTGGGTCAGAAACACCTACTTCTTTTTTTTGATGTTTGTGTGTTGCTAAATTTTTTTTTTCAAAATAGTAAATTTTTTGTGATATCTGGCACAAGTACAGAGTAGAGTGTGCAGCAATCCTTTTAAATAATTTGTTTTTTTTTTAGTATTAAGGTAAGGTTATGTCCTTTAGTCTTTATTAGTATATTTGTTATAGAAAGTACAAATCTATTATATATCATCTATCACTATATATCTATTCAGACATAGAACTCAGACATATTTATTTGTGACCTAAACCTACCAGAGTTTTGTATTGTGTTTTACTTACATCTAACCCGAATTTTTGTTTCACTACTAATTATATTAGGTAACCTACATATTTACTTTATGTTTCACAATTTATTTTTAATAACTTCTAAATTGGTTCACTAGATTGTTCACTTCTTTTGAACTATGATCTTTGGTTTGCCTGAAAGGTACCTCTCTAGCATGTATCTTAAGCCAGATTTCTGCTGCCATTGCTAACTTCCCAATTCAGATACTAGTAGCACATATCTCAAGCCAGGTTCTTGCTACTGCTACTAGTTTGCAACCCTTCTTGGTCTTAGTGTTATTTTTAACAGATTGTGCATCTAACTTACCCCTTAAGTACTCCCTTTTATGGTATAGATGGAACTCTATTTTGGGGATGAGTACACATTCTTTTTCAGTCATTGCCTGACATTTCCACTATTATCACACTGTGTTGCAAGTTTTTTTTTGTTCTGTTTTCAATCATGAGCAATCCTACTGCCTTTTTAAGAACATTTTGGCCTGAATCTAATTTAGACTAAGGTGTTCACACTGTGTTCAAGTAGGTTTCCAGTTCCAATTTAGATATTTTAACTATGATTGGTACAGCATTTATGTTGGTATATTCTACTTGTTTCGTCATAGGCTTCCATATAGATGTAACTAGAGTTTCAGTTTGAAACCTTTAAATGTACAGGACAGTTTACAACTTTTCTATGTAGATAGTTACCTTCTATTCTTAATTATTCTACAGCACCAGAGGTGCTTCTAATTTTGATAGGACTAATTCTTTGTCACAAACCTTCTATATATACACCACTTCTTTTACTACTTCAGTTTGTATTATCTTGGTATCATGCTTCAAATCAAGTACTTCACAAGTTGAATGCAGAGATGTTGGTACTGTCCTATCTTCAGAATACTTATATGTGCAACCCTTTGCATAATAGAACTTTTTGTAATGCTGCTATCACATGTAGTGCCTACACTCTGCAGAGTTGGTTTTTTTCTAAGAATTCTTTTTTCTGTTATATACTGCACTTGGACTTGACCACATAATTTTGTGTTCAATTACAGGCTTCTTATGAGTTACAGAAGCTAAAATCTTTTGATTTTGCTTTCAGCCAGACTTGAACTATTGACCTTGACTGTGGAAGTATAGGAGCTTAACTATTAAGCTATGGAACCTACATCCTAAATAATTTATTTTAAATACATCTATTGACAAATATTTATTATATTTACATCTATACTATACTAATATGAATTGCATATAAAGTTTATCTAAATAATATAATTAGTATTCAATTTACAGCACATATAATCTAATTTAAAGTTGCAAATAAAACTTATAAAAGTTAAGTAAACAAAAAACTTATGACAAAAGCAGTTTTATCTATAACTTGATTTGAAAATTCACTTTCTATTTCTAGTTTTGCATAACAACATTATGCAGCTACTTATTGAATTATAATTTATATTATTTTTAATTAACAAAGTTATTGCTGACAATATAGAAATAGGAATGTAATGCCATGAACCAAGTCACATGGCAGTTATTTGTCATGAGATCCATACTCTATTCACTGATGTATGTTATTTGTAATTTGTATATAATTAATAGATATTAAGTTATAGATATACAAATAGTTAAAGGAATAAAGTGACATTATGTTATTTAGGTAAGTATGAGGTCATAATGAAAGGTATATAAAGAAGATGGTTCTAGGGTTTTTTGAGTTACTTTTCTCTTTGCTGCAAGCTTAACATAAGTCTAGTTATTTATAAATAAATATTATATAGTCAAAACATATAAGAAAAAAACAATAGTAAGTAGTAATGAAAAATAATAGTAAAGTTCAGAAAGTAAGTTTAAGTTCAATAACAACTGATAATATCTTGAAAAATGAAGTTAAGAAAAGTTAGAAAATGAACCTGAGAAATAGTTTGGATAGGTTAATGATTAATACATTGAAGGTAGTATGTAGAGAGGAAGATTTATCTAAAAAAGAAAATAAGAAAGAGTTAGTTAAGAAGTAATAAGGTACTTAGTAAGACTAAAGGTAAGAACAGGATAGTGAATACTACCCAGAGCAAGAACCTAAAAGAAAAAAGAATGGGCTTTAATATAGAAGAGAGATTATATAATAATATTGCTAGAAATAGGTCTTTGGATAATGCTAGTGAGGATAACACAAAGTTTAAAGATGCTAGATATATAGAATATAGAGGCTACTTGGATTTTAATCAGCAATATATAGCTTTTGAGAAATTAATCAAGAAAATGATGAAGACAATGTTAGAAAAAGTAGTAGAAAAGATTAGGAAAGTATACAACTAGTACACAATATGGAAGAATATAAGTACTAAATTAAGAAAAAAATAAAAAAGGCATGAGATCAGTTTAAGTATGATAAGTGACGTAAAGTTGAAAGGTATATGGATAGTGCTATCTTGGACAATAATTGAAATATGATATTGAAAGCAAAAAAGTTAATAGCTATAAGAGCATTTGTTTTAAAAATAGTAAATCATAAAGGATGGAATATTGCTGCAGAGATTGGGAATAATTCTTCAAATAATCTTATAAAAGCCAATAAGCTAACAAGTGTAAGACAATTAGCTAAGAATAAATGACAGAGGGCAGAGAACAAACCCATGTTACCAAAATTGGCATTCAATAATACACCTGTAGAAGTGGCAGCTTTTGCATCTAACTAGAAGATATAGTAGCCTTTAATTTAGTCTATTCAATCTGTTCAACCTTATCAGCCAGGTCAATTTTTACACTCAGAGTTTAGCTCAAAAGTAGGACTATTCTGTAGTAGTGTTTCTCAGGCTCCATATTAAATGCAAGAATAACAAGCATATAATAATCAGCAGGATGCTTAAAACAACCCATAAGTCTCAAAACAAAGTTAGAGATTATATAATTCATGTAGACCTGTAAGACAAAATAGAAGTGCAGAGGTAGTGTGTTTTATTTGTGAGAAAAAAGATCATATTGCTTGGAATTGTTCTCAAAAGAAAATGAAATAGTTCTTTCATAAGTCTAGCTCTAAGAAGGAAGGAAGTTGACTACAATCAGGAGATAGAGAGTATAACAAGAAGAGTAGAACAAAGAGATAAGAAGGTGGTAGGAAGATTGCATCAACAGTTATCAGTAATCTATTAAAAGAAAAAGATAAAACTAGCAGCAGTGATAATGATGTAGTTAAAAACAAAGTTTCACTGTTTGTGAAAGGTATAAAGACATTAGCTAAAATGGAAGTTCTGAAACAATTCAGGCTAACAAAGAATAAGTTAAATTGAATAGACTTAAAATTAAAGAAATTGAGACAATAAAATTAGTGCATATAGATCAAAAGAGGCTGAACTTTTTACTGAAAGTAAGCCCAGTGTTTTTTGTACAAAAGGCAGGGCCAAAGAAGTACTACCTAGTGATAGACTTGAGGAAGCTAAATTAAGTGTTACTAAAGAAATCTTTCTGCTTTGAAGGGCTCAGTAGGTTTTTAAGAATAATAGAAAGAGATTAGTAGATAATAATATTTCACTTGCAAGAAGAATATTATCATGTATTAATGGATAAATAGGCACAGTGTTTTTGGGCTTTTGAATAGGGGAAGAATGGTTCAATTATACAGTACTGCCATTTGGTTTATGCCAGGCTCTATAAATATTTTCAAAGTTAATAAGAGCCTTGATTGAGTATAGAAGTCACAAGGTTTTTTTTGCAGAAATAATATAAATAATATATGGATATATTTCACAAAAGAGACTTTGTTAAAGATAAGAAATCAGATAATAGAAGCCAATCTAGAGAGGTACAGCTTATTTAAAGCATTAGACAAATGATGTTGGAAGCTATCAAGAAGAATAAAGATTTATAGGCTGGTGGTAAATACAGAAAAAGGTTTGGTAAAGATTTTGGAAAAGAAATTATTGAAAGTTTAAGAAAATTTAATGAGTTTGGAAAGTCTTAAAACAGTTTTGGCAAGAACATTAATAGCAATAACAGGTTGAATTTAGAGCATATTATGGGCATTTCTACTAGTACAAGTGAAGTGTCTAGAATTGTATGTAATAATAGATGCAGCAAATCAAAATCATTAGAAATAGAACAAGAAGGTATGTTTAACCAAAAAGGCTTAGAAAGATTTAGGATGGCTAAAAAAAACATTGTGAAGTGGAATAGAAAACCAGTATGAAAACCAGCTCAAATAAAAGCAGTTTTTGTAAATGCATTGACAATAGGATGATGTAGGGTCTATCTAAATTACAGAGCAGCAGAAAATTAGCCATATCCATTTAAAGCAGCAGAAATTGTACAGTTAGAAAGTATAGTCATATTGAGAGCCCTGCAATCTTTTGCACATAGCTAAGACACTCTTGGATAATTATATATATAAACAACAAAGTGGTTCTAAGGTTAATTACTTAAGAAAAACCATGCTCATGACAGAAGAATATAGTGAGGTTCTTAATTTGTTTTAGATATATTGTAAAATGGGTTAAAGTATATTTTGTTTTTTGTAATTACATTTTGTTAAGGTTGTATCCAGAACATAGTTGTAGAGTTGTATTATTTGGTAATATTATCTAGTTATATATTGTCACATGCTAATTTTTTATAAAGAATATCTTTCTTATACTTTTTGTTTTAGTGTTGTAGATTTAGTCTTTTTTGTTAATCTGTTTGGCTTTAAATATATAAGGTTTGATATAATCAATATGTGGCTCTTATCTTTAATTATTTCATTGGTTTGCTAGATTATTTGTTTAAACTATTTGGGTTTCTGCCTCATTGTATTCTTGTTATAGTTTGTGTGATATGCATCCAGGTAAGTGCTTGTAAGTGTGTATAGTTTGTGCATTGTTTTATTGTATAGATTTCTAATTTATTAAGTTTTGTTTTAATTTTGTAAGCTGATTTGTGTTGTTGTAGAACATGATTTATAGTTGTGCCTTTAAAGATCAGGAGTTTGGGCCAGGTATCTGCATGTTTTATTGAGACTTTCACTTAGTGTAGGCTTTGTAGCATTCTTGCAGTAGTTGAAAAGTGTTCTTCTTGGCTTAAAGTATATAAATAGTTAATCAAGTTAGATTATTAATTGCAACTGCATTTTAATTCATTGTAGTTAAATTTTAAGTATAGAGTTATAAAAGTTATAATGATTAAGTTGGTATATCATTTGAGCAATATATTGTTAGTCCTATATTTCATTAACTTTTCAAAGGGCATATATTTTATAATAAAACATTGTGGAGTTTGGAATAGATGTAGCCATGCCTGCTTTATGTTTTGCTATAGTTGTATATCTATATATAATTTTGTTACAGATAGAGTCTGGTAGCTTGGAGTTTTGTATATGATAGACAATTCTAGTAAGTATTACTGAATTAATTAAATAAATAGCTTGTTTTTCTGTAATTTTTGCATATTGAAGTTTTTTAACTGCATTAGTTACTTTTTTCATTATAATTTAATGTATAGGAGTAGTCTTTTCTCTATTGTAAACCAACATCTGAGGAATTTAAATGCTTTTTTTGTTAAGATACTAGTAATTGATATGTTATTAAATATTATACTGGATCTTGCTTTGATTATATTTGTTGCTAAAACTAATTTTATTGGGTTGACCTGAATATTGGATAGATTATAGAATGCGATTGCAGTAGTTATAATTTTGAATAGTTCTTTTTTTGATGTTGCAATCCAAATAATATCATTCATGTATGCTAGTGCTGAATGATTAGTTTGGTAAATAGTGCTATTGTTGGTCAAAATAGGTATATTAATCTTCATTTAATATTCTTTATGTCTCTTGGTAATTTTAGATAGCAAGGGGTCATAGTATATGTGCATAGTAGAGTGGTGATCATCTCTCCTTGGTCAATTTTATCATTAACTAAATATTTTGATATGTTGCCATAGTTTGTAATTACAGAATTTATATGGTCTGTAAAGATGTCAATTATTAGATCAATTATGTTCTTTGATATTTTTATTTGCTGTAGAGCTTTGCATAGTAGTGGGATATGAACAAAGTCATAGGCTTTTGACATGTTCTAAGATAATAGATATAGTTCTTGTTTAAAGGCATTTGTACTTTATATAATATGTGTTAAAGTAGATATTGATATAGCTATGGAAGTATTCAGCAAAGCTACATAGTTGCTATTGTTAAATATAGAGTATCTAGTAAGAATATTGTTAAGTCTGTTAGTAATTATTTTTGTTAAAAATTTTGGGTATGTTCTATAGGTTATGTGTTATTTAGTTGTTCTGTAAATTTGGATTTTTTAGAGATAGATTAAATGTTGCTATGTTTTCATGTTTTTGGAATTGTGTTTAGTGTTAGGCATGCATTTAGTATTGTGCAAAGTTGTATTAGACTAGTACTATTTAGATGTTTTAGCATCTCATTTGAGATGCCATATAGTCTGGTTGCTTTACTAGTTGATAATTTTTTAATAGTCTTATCTAGCTCTTCAAGAATAATTGGATTAAAGATATTATTGTACCAGCAGTATTGGATGTTGTTTATAGATTTGTATTCTTCATCTCATTTCTTTCAGTGGTTCTAGTTTGGAGGGTTAGGCTTTGTTTAGTTCTCATAATATGTTTGTACTTCTTTTCATATTAGTTCTGGTTCTGTAATAACTTCATTTGCTTTGCATATATTGTGGAGTAGGACTACATCTGTATGTCTTTTAGTATGCTGTTAATTATATGAGTAGTATTGTTATTAAAGTTGTTATATCTTTTGTTAATGTATTTATTTATTATGCTTTGGTGAGCAAGGTAGTTTTCTAGTTTTTTGGCTTGATGTATTGTCTTTTGCTGAACTTTTAGCTATATAATTAGAGCCTTTTTATTAATAGGTGTTAAGTTATCTAATATAATGTAATTGGTTTGTATTTCTGTTTTGTCATTAATGTACTCTATATCCTTGTTGTATATTTGTATTAAATGTTAGTAAAAGTTTGTATGTTTGCTTGCATTTGTTTTATGAGTTTGTTGGTATGCTTAAGAGCTGCATGATATTTGGTGGCTTTGGTAGAGAAGGTATAGAATATTCAGAGCTGAATTTTTATTCTAGGTATATTCTTCTTAACTGCTATGATTGCTTGGTTAAGTTTATGCTACTGTTTGTTTAATATGTTAATATTGTTTATTTTTTGTACTATTGTTTTTTTTTAAATAGATTGTAATCAAGTTTGAAAATTCTGTTTACAGATCTGATGTTATTTGGTCATATTTGAAGATTTCTTTTTTCCTTTGTTTTTATCTATTGTTTTTTATTTGAAGGTTGTATGCCTATTGTAGTTGCACAATTTGATAATTGCTGTCTGTTATTCTGTTAGAAAAGATTATTTGGAAGGTATTATGTTATGTATAAGTTGTGTTGGAACCCAGATGTTATCTATTTGGCTGTTTATTTCTTGTTGGCTTTAGGTAAAATCTGTAATATTGAAGTAGTCAAGTGTATTAAGTAGACCATGTAATTTTAGTATGTTAAAGAGTGAAGCTATTTTTTTGGAAGGTTTTTTGTCAATGTTAAAGTTTCTGAGAATGATTGTATGATAGCCTTTAGCTGTTGTCTAGTTTATCTACTATGTTATTGTTTGCTGTATAATCTTATTAAGTGGATGGTTTGTAGCTAATAGGTAAATAGAAATTATTTGAATTTAGTTTTTGTTTGAAAAAAGAAATCTATTGTGATAGCAGTCTTTGGTTCTGTTATAATGTTATGAATATAGAGTCTAAGTGGTTTAGTAATTGCAATTGTAATACCAAGACTTATTTCTCTCTTGACTGCTTGTTGACATTGCAGTTTAAGGTATAAATATAATAATAGAGGTTGCTTATAAATAGTTCTGAATGGGTTGAGTCAGCTAATTTTGTTTCTGTTATACTTATAATATTGTATTGGTGTTATTGGCAGTGTTTAAGCCATAATTGTAGTTTAAGCCTGTCATTAAGACCTTGTACATTATAAGTTACTATTGTTAAATTGTTGTTAATTTGTAGAAGAAGTGGGTTTAAGAGTTCATAATAAGTGTTTTCTAGTAGATTTAGAGTTGTTGTAGTAGTAAGTAATGATGTCTCATTCTTACATTTAGATATTGCATTTAGTTGAGTAAGGCAAAATATTTCCTATTCTGGTTCAAAGAGTGGTAGTAGTTTTATAATATGTTCAGGTATTGCTTTAACTGTATAATGTTGTCTGAGTTTTACTAATATTGGAGTTGCAGTATCTTGGCTTGTTATTGGTACTATGATGTCAGTTGTATCTATTTTTGATTCTGAGGTCTTCTTGTATTTCAGCAATAGTGTTTGATATTTGAAGCTTTGCCTCTTTGTTTGCATCTGTTTAATATATAGTTTTTTTGTTTGTTTCTAGTATTTGTATTTATTCTGTAGGCAGCTTTTGAAAGTAGTAGTAGGATTTGAGAAGGCATGCAGTTTCTGTTATTCTTTTGAGTATATATCTATTGGAATGGTAAGGTTAACTTCTGTAATTATTTTGGGATCAGTAGATAGTCTGGGTTTGTTTGTAAGATTAGCAGCCATAATCGATTCTGAGATAGATAATGTAATTTTGTATGTTCTTTTAACTTTGTGTATAAAACTTGCTGCTTTTGTATCATCTGTAATTGGGTAGGCATATGTGTTCTGGGTTTTAATTCTGCTTGAATCTTTTGGCAGACTGGGTTTTACTAGAAAATAGTTATTTGGGATGTTTTTAAATGCATAGTATTCTTTAAGTCTTATTATGATATCTTGCATATCAGTATTTTGACTGGCTTTGTTTTTGGAAAGCATGCTCTTAGTTGTGGATTTTCTATGCCTTGGTATGCAGGTAGAAGTGCAGGTTTTTTTGACATTAGTAAAGGTAAGTTGAAGAAGTGATCTAGAATTTTATCAAAGCTATAAACTGCTTGTAGACATTTTTTATAATATGCAAGTCTTTTTAGTTCTCTTCATTTGGTTATTAAAAAAGATGTTTAATTCTGTAGTCTAAATTATTTACATCATGTATGGTGCAAGCACTCTAGTCACATTATATTTGTGCCACTTTGTTATTGCCCTAGCTTATTTATTATAATGCATAATAATATCAGATTAAGTATGTACATAATATATATTAATTGTTATTGTTATATTAACATTATATCATACAGCTTTTTTGAAGAAACCTTGCTGATCATTAATGTGATGATGTTTCAAAATTTTTTTTCAAATTGTTATTCCTTTCTAAATAAGCACAAATTTGCAAAAAAAAATATGTAACTTTGTAAACCTTTACTGTAACTATAAAGTTACAGATTTGTTTTACAAATTTGCATTTATTCATTAAGAAATAATAATTTTAAATGTTTTTAGAGTGCTTGCATCATAGCAGTAGTAGAAGTTTAGTAAAATATGTAGGTAGTAGCTTTTCAAATTCAAATACTCTGTAAAATGCTATAACTACAGCTTTTGTTTATAACTTGAATTTTATTAAAAGTTCAAATAGTAGGATAGCTTTTATTTCATCTAAGATTCTTATTGATATATCAGAAGGCTTTTGTAGTTTGCTTTTTGTTGCTTCTGCAATTGCCTCTTGTATGTTTTCTTTGTTTATTGCTTTTTCATCTATTGTAAAGCCTTTATAGTATGTTAGTAATTAATAGATATGTTTTTATAAGCATGTATTAAAATTCATCTTGGTGATGTAATCAATATACAGTTTTTAACAGAGTTTAAAATGTATTTTGTCTCTTGTTTGTTTATCAATAATGGTTATTTTGTTTTCAGTTTTGTATTTTTGTATTACATTTGTAAATAAGATTTTGTACTCTATTAGGTATTGAGGCATGAAGTGTTTGGCCTTTTTAAAAGTAGTAAAAAAGGTATAGTTAGTATGTCTAAATTTGGATTTAATTACATATAGTAATATTTGTTGTGCAGGTTTGGTCTTATATTTGTATATAATAAGTTCTTATAATTTCTTTTTTAATTGAAAAGCTTCTGTAGTAGGTTGGTATTTCAAAGTGTTAGGTCAAAGAGTTCTAATATTTTCTCATCTATGTTTTGGTTTAGTTGTTCTGTTTATATTTGCATATAGTTTGTTTCACTTTCTAAATTTGTGTCTGCAGTTGTTGTATTTTTAACTGCCTGGCTATATGTGCATCTGGTTGTGTATCATTCTTTGTTGAGTTTTTAGTACTTAATATTGTGTTAATGGACTCAGTTTCCATGTTTTGGTTAGAGTGCATTTTTGTTTAAGGGTGCTTGGTTTGGTGACTTGTGTTGATTAGTTCTAAGATATGCTGTGCTGTATATGCAATTTCTATTTCCATTTTAGAACTATATGCATGCATTTGTATATTACTTATAGTAATGCAATAGTTGTTATTTTGTGTAATTGTTATATAGTTGTTGTTGTTGCCTACAAGACTAGCTTTATCATTAGTTAAACCTGTTTGTTTTGTTGTGTTGTTGTTGTAGTTAATTGTACATGCAGTCACCTGGCTGTTAGATAGAGGTAAGCTACTTTTCCTACTTTTGTTGTTTTGTTTTAGTAATGGTATTAAGATTTTTGTCATTTGTTTGTAGTATCTTTGTTATTTTTGCTAAGTTAGTTATAGGAAGCTTGTTTGTGTTAGAGTTGTTTCTGTTGTCTAGTAGGTATTTATGACTGTTCTGCATATTGAGAGTTTGTGTTGCTGTAAAAGTAAAAGCAGCTATGAGCTCTATTGGTCTTGGAATATTTTCTTTGTTTTTAGTATAGAGTTTGCATTTATTTTTATTTCTGTAATAGTATATCTTAGTTTGTTTTAGATTAGTATATAAAAAGTTACAGGTTGTCTCAAAGTTAGTATTATTATCCTGTCTTTTAGTTAATTAAGTTTTAATAATTTTTCTTTTTTGTTTACTTATTGTTTTGAGATTTACAGAAAAAAGTCTTTTTATGCATGCAATTTTGAAAATATTAAAAACATTAGAGAACAAATTAATAATAACATAGTAAAAAGATGCTCTAAACTCCAACACAAACCTACATCAATGATTAACAGTATACTTAATTAACACTGTAACCCTGTCAGATTTGACAACATCAAAACTAATACTGATATCATTACAGAAATTCTACTTATTAAACAACACATTCAGGACTACTTTGATCAATAGACTTCTCTCCATCATATTCAAACTCAAATCTTTAACTTTTTCTGATCAGATGAATATCAACCCAAAGCTGATATTGAATCTGACTGATATTAACAGACTCTTACTAACTTTACTAAAAAGGAAATTTCCACAACTCTAAACTAACTTCCCAACAACAAAGTCTGTGGTCCATCAGGTATTAGCTATGAAATGCTAAAACATGCAGGTCCCACATTTATAACAGCCATAACTGCATTATTCAACAAATGCCTTGAACTAAAATACATTTTCAAGCAATGAAAAGAAGTAAGAATTTTCTTAATATTCAAAAAACCCATATTTGATGGCAACCTTACTAATACTAGACCTATTAGCCTTTTTGAACATAGTAAAAAACTTTATACAAAACTTCTTACTAATAGACTTAATAGTATCTTTACCCAATACTTTATTCTATCTCAATACAACTATATTGCTCTTCTTGGCAATAGTATATTAATCCCAATACATATCTTAAACAATACTATAGAAGATGCTTTTTGCATCTCTAAACAACTCTGGCTACTATTATAAGACATGAGTAAGGCTTATGACTCTGTCAACTCTAATCTTTTTGAAAAATCTTTATCATGATTACAAATGCCCTAACACCTTATTAAAATTCTAACTGATCTTCTTACTGCTCAGTATAATTATATTATAACTAACCTTGAATTTACAAACTCTTATATAGTTAAAAATGGCATTGATTAAAAAGAGACAATTATACCACTCTTTTGAAGAATTTACTATATCTCTCTTATTAGTAAAATTGCTAACTATTTTCATGGATACACTCTATATATCTCATAGAAAACTAATCTCTATCCATCCCAACTACAAAACTTACAAACCTCTATATCTGTACTGGTATACATAAATAATACTCTCTAGATAGCACAGTTTAAAAATGAACTTGAATCAATTATCAAAATAGCATTATCCTTCTATTATATAGCAGATATACAAATTAATTTAACCAAATCTATCTTGGTTTATAATACATTATTTACTGCTAAACTTTTCTTCTTTGATTCAATAATTAAATCTATTTCAGCCAATCAACTATTCAATTCCTGGGCTGCTGGTTCACAGTAAATGGATCTATATCCAAACAAGGCTAGCTAATTCAACTAAAGCAACCCAACTAATCAATATTACTAGTACTAAAAAAATTATTAGAAAACAAATAGCATATATCATTAATACAGTAATCATACTAACTATTGAATATAAACTATATAATACTATTCTCTTATACTTTATATGCAATAACTTATTAGTCAAATATCTTACTATGGCTAAATATTAATTTAACTTATCCAGATCCTTTCCTAATAGCTTTATGCTTAAACCATATTTATACAATATTTGTAATATTTTGAACATCTATGCTTAAACCATATTTATACAATATTTGTAATATTTTGAACATCTAAATGCAATATCACATTATTAATTTTCAACAATAAATTAATAATCCTAATATTCTTGGCACAACAACTAAAATTAGGCTAATTAGGCTGCAACAGCTTCAAAATAATCTCTGATCTACTACTAATATCCTTCAATATAAGCAATCTTTTATTGATAGATACAACAAACTTACTTTTAATTTTAAAATTATTCAGTTGTTTCAACATCTCAATATTATAATTTCTGCCTATTATTGTATATTATAGCCAAATACTATATATAACATATGCCAACTAATTGAAACCTATACTTATACAACATCCAAAATACATTATCTTTAAAAAACAATTAAGAAAACTTAATATTCTATATTTAGAGCAACTATGTACTTCTGATAACAGTATCTTACTTAAATAGCAATATCTTTTATCAAGACTATATCAACTGACAAAATAAAAACAATCTTTATAGTTTATTTCTTATAAAAACAAATTCATATTATATAAATATCACTGAACTATCTTACTTCACTTTCAATCACTTGGTACTAATCCTTTTGAATACAATACATATTCTATTATCCAAAAACAAAAATCTTAGCTTCTTATTTATTATTCCATTAATGAAAAAATTATTATTGGCAAAATTCACAAATATATCTCTGCCTCTAATTCATTCTTGATTGCACATTGAAAATACAATATTAATTTAGATTATAATCAATATTATTCATTCCCATCTATCAAATGCAAACCATATACAGGATGCCATCTTAATTCAAATAGAATTAACTAAATATGTATTATTAACATATTAGCAATTATTTTTGCAACATTTTTAGTTAGAAAAACCTCTAATAATCTTAAACTCAATGCCAATTACATTGATTTCATATACTCAACAGCTATTAAACATCCTTTATATATACCTCCTATATCTCCCAATATCATAATACACAACTCTAATATTCTAGAAATCTTTAAACCAAACAGTTACACTTATAAGCTTCAAAACATTTACTTATTTAATTCTATAAATTATAACTTTACCTTTTATACTAATGGTTCCATTATTGATATTGAATTAGAACAATATTCTATAGATATTGAATAAGTTCAAATTAATAAACAAAATCAAATTATCTATAAATTTTAGCCCAAGTTTGTTTATAGCCATTATCTTGTAAAGCTAAATTAGTCTCAATTCTATTTGCAATATCTACTATACTTTGCAATTCATCTATTAACATCTATATAGACTCGCAATCTGTTATTTCAAAATTTTATACACTATCAAACCAATTATAAAACTCTAACAAGTTATTCAAATTTAGCACATGACTCTTATGACATACTTTACTTAATATTATAAAATTCTTTAATCTACAAATTACTTTTCACAAAATTCAAGACCATACTGATAATTCTTTTAACAATCTTGCAGACTCTTTAGCAAAACAGCATATATTTTTTCAACCTTTTATCTTTAATTATACTAATATTTATAACTCTTATCATATTCTTTAATAGTAACAATCTTTATTGAACTACTATTTAGATATTTTATTAAAAATATATACAAAGTATATATACTAACAATATGGTTTTCACAAAAAAGAAACAGTGAATGGTCTTATTTAAACCACCTTATAAACTGGACCTTTTCTTAGTTTTATCTTAATTATAACCAAAAACCTACATCTTTTCATATCAGTTTTAAACTTAATCAACTTAAAGCTTTTAAATCTAAACTCTTACTAAATGAGCTATCTATTCAATTCTTTTTCATAACAGATATCATCATATTTTTACCAATACTAATTGCTTCAAATGCAATCTTTCTAACTCATCTACACACTGGTGCATATGCTCTAACACACATAATACTCTCTTTAATATTATTTATATATCTATTAATTAAATACTTTTTAAGACTAAACTGAGTTATCATCTTTTCAACTTCAAAAACTAGGTTCTAATATATGTTATTTAATCACATACTATTTTAACATGATCTACATTTTATAGACATTACACTTAAAGAACTTATACCTAAATTACTCATTAAAGTTATTTACAACTTTAATATACCTTTACAATTAGCTTCACAAATAGTAATTCAAATACTTTTACACATTAACAAACAAATCTATAAACTAATTTGAAAACCATACTGCATTGAATTTTTTAATTAGAAAAAACATAACCAAATTCCACTAAGATATCAAAATAATATTAGTAGTACTGATACATAACATTTAAATCATAGAGCTCTCAAATAACATTGCCAAACCTATATATACTCATGCCTATATAGCATTGCAGATCAACTTCATTTACAATCCAATATATGTTTGCCAATTGGTTAAGCAATTAAAAAACTTAATATCTGATTAATTTTTTAGATTAAATACAATATTGTTTCTAACTATATACTAATACTTCAAATCTGAGTGGGTCTTGACCATCATAGTTGGTTTAGGTTACAGATAAACTAGTCTAAGCTTTCATTCTTGTATGTAATTTTTATTTTGTTACAAACAACCTAGTTTATTTCAGTACTCTTGTACTAAAATATACAGTGAAATTATTAATAATGATATAAGAATGGCCTCACCTTAATACTAAAAAAAATAATTTGAAATTATACACATAATTTTGTATTTTTATCTATTATTTGCTGAAATAAAAAATTATTTTAGATAATTTTTTTCAAATTTTCAAAAATTATATATCTATAAATAAAGGTAATAACAATAAAAATAGTTATAATATAAGAATGTATTAAATTCTGAATAAGCAAAAAAATCTGGTATTTTATATTAAATTATTATTATTTTTTTTTTTACTCTTTGACAATCTTGTCAAAGTTGTTCATGCTCCTATATTTTTGAACTAATGTTCTCAAATGTCTCCAGTTGCTAAACCTTGACCTTTTTTCATCTGTGCTTTTAAACTTTTCAAAAGTAATTTATTGCACTGATCTCTGCTAGTATTAGAAGATTTTACAAAGCTTAGTCTAGAACTGGCTATTGCCATAAGTTCATATAGTATCTCTCATTGTCAGACTTTTGGCCTTATATTATGTTTCATGACTTTGGTTATTCTGAATCAGGCTCTAAGCTGTGTTCATCACTATATGGCTTCTCAACTGCAGATTACTTGTTATTTCTAGAAATAAGTCTGTTCATTGAATGTCTCAGATTTCTGGTTCTGTAGTATTGCAGTTCATTATTTTGGAAATGCATCTTTACAATTGCCATTACTAAGATTTGAACTAGCAACCTTGTGATTTGTGACCTCAGAGTATAACTGCTATGCTATTGACTCTAGAGGTTACATTAAAATTTTATAACTACATTATAATTATAAATATTAATTATTTTAAAAGTTTAGCTAGTTAAATAAAAAAAAAAGTTATTATACCTAGTTATTTATATAAAATATCATAATAGTAACAATTAGTTTAATATAAAATATATTAAATTCTAAATAAGTAAAAAATCTGGCAAAATTTTATATACTGTATAGCAATTGTAAAAATTAATTAATTTCAAGTTTGATTGTTAAATAAAAAAATTGACTTATATAAAAAATATACAGTTATTATTGTCTATAACATAAGTTAGTCTATATTATTATAATGCTTCAAAAGTTTTTGATCAAATTATGATAATTTATTAAATTATATTTTTGTATAAACACTTTATCTGTAGCAGTAATTTTTGTTGAAATTATAATCTTTATAAATATATTAAAAATTATTTGTTATTATAAATAAAAAAAATAATATAAAATCATCAATAAATTTAGCTATAAATTGAATATAATTAGATTATCTTTTAATATTGTTTTGAAGATCTCTATAATTCAAAACTATTCACATTGTATCAACAAATCTTGCAACAATTTGCACTTTTAAATATTTTTCTGTTTACATCAGATCACATCTATTTGCACCTATTTACAACAAATTTAAATATCTAATGTTAATAAATTATATTTGATATTAATTTATTTTAAAATTTTTAAGTTTTTGTTTATTTTTTACAACTATACTAACTACATTACTAATTTTATTTTAGTTTTTTTTTGATTTTTTCATTTAATTTACTTTAAAATTTTAAGTTTATTTATTTTTTACAACTAACTATACTACTAATTTTATTTTAGGTTTTATTTCTTTTTTATAATCTTAAAGTATTTTAGAAATGTTTCAAGGTATGTTTTTCTCTTTCAAGAAAAGTTCAAAAAAGCTAAAGCAAGAAGCCAACTATAAGACTGACAAGTTTAGAAGAAACTAAAGAATCTGAACTAAGCAAAAGTTTTTTGAAAAAGTTTAAAAATCTTGAAGTTGAATCAAGTAGCAGAACTGTCACTTTAGATAATTTGAATATATCTGATTGTATTTAATATTTTTAAACTTAGATTTTTTAATTTTAATAAGTTATTAGTTATTAATTTTAATTTATTTAATTTTAAGCATTAATAATTTCTTTGACAAAAATTATTAAAAATCAAAGAGAAATTCTTTATGAAATTAGTGAACTTAAATCTAAAGTTGAAAGAATCAAAAATAGGTTAAGCAAATTAAAATAGAAATTAAAGAATAACTTTAATTTTAAGAATAAGAAGATCTTTAAAGAAGTAATTATTTAAGTTTAAATTAATTTTTTTAATTAATTAAAATTAATTTATATTAATTTAATTAAATAAATATATTAATAAGATACAATTATAGGAACTGCTAAAGAATTAATCATTTATGCAATATATTTTGATAATAAAGAATTAAAGTTGGATATAGAAAATTACATTAGAGCTAATTTTAATAATAATTTTCAAAGATTTTTATCAAAGTAATGAAAAGCATATTATATAAAAAATTTTAACAAGCCAATAAAGTTATTTTATTTAATTTATTTCTTAATTTTAATTATTTTAACTTATTTAATATAATTCAAACAAGTTCAAAACTAATAAAATTAATTTGCTTTTATAATTTATATTTTTAGCTTTTAAAAAAAAATTAGATCTTTGCAAGATACTTTGACTAATAAGATTAAATCTTCTATATTTTTTGTATTTGGAAATCTTTTAGAACTAATAAATATAAAAGCATTATCTAAGATAGTTTTAAAATAAAAAAGATCTGAACAGATCAAAGCATGTTATAAATGGCTATTTAATAAGATGAAAAAAAATTCTGATAAAATCTATATGTCTCAAATTTTAAAAAGAATTTGGCCTAATGGAGATGCCTCTAAAGAAAATATAGCATATGCTATAGCTAGAGATGGGCAAATCATGGTTTTTCAAAAAATCCTGCACATGATGCGCGGGATCCGCGTGGGATTCGTATCCCGTACAGGATTCATTAAATCTAGGTGCCATACTGTTGAACCTCAATTTTGATTTTCCAATAGCTGTGATCGACAAAATTTTGGCCACAATATACATAATTTTGGCTTAAGGTTTGGGTCTGTATAATGATAAAATTAATGCAGAAATATACAGTATTTCACTTAGGGTTAAAAATTACATTTTACAAATTTACAAGACATGTAATTTCACATAAGTTTTAGTAATATGAATTTCATATAATTTTATATAAGTTTTAGTAATATGAATTTCATGTAATTTCACATAAGTTTTAGTAATATGAATTTCATGTAATTTCACGGGATATATAGTACCTAGAGATTTAAACCACAAAATTTTAAACCCTAATTTTACTTAATGGGTGGCCACGATTTCTTTACTAAAAATTCGAGTAATTTAGTCTAAACTTTTGGTCATTGCTGTTGGTCAATCAAAATAGTGAATTTCCACATATTTTTTGCAAGGTTTAATAGCAGTAATTACATTAAGCACATCCTTGGTTAAAGGTTTCATCTGATCTAATTTTTGTAAGATGATTCCAAATATTATTATTACTATGTATGTTATTTATTTTTAAAAGAACAACTTAATGATAAGGAATATTTTTGTAATGTAAGCGAAAGATACCAACAGCAAAGAAGGTAAATTTTTATTGTATATATAAATAAAATATGTGTGAAATGGTATGCAAATAAATAAATAAATTTTAATTAGAAATTGGCTAAATATGTTAATGCAGGTCAGATATTATATTAATGCTAGTCAGATATTATGGTAATGCCAGCCGAATAATCTTATTTCATGATCATATTAAAAATCCTGCGCATGATGCACATAATCCTGCGTGGGATCATGCGCAGATCCCACACATGCCCATCTCTAGCTATAGCTATGCATTAGTAAAAGTCTAGGTAGATATAAAAATAGAGTGGTCACTAAGTGTTAAAATATTGTTATGTCAAGTTTGTATGAAAGAAAGAATTGAATATTAAATGAATCAGTCCAGATATAATTAATGCAGCTGTGGCTAGTATTATTTGATCATGTAAAGTACTTGTTATCAATATGTGCACCAAGATCAAACATGTTGAAGTGGTGTAAATAATTAATAAGTTTAAATTTAGATAAAAAGCTACAGATATCATCATGTGTATTAAAGTTTCTAAATATTATTAGATGAAGGTTGTGTTGAAGAGCTTATTGAATCCATGTAATAACAGTATTTTATATATTGTTGCATTTTTGCATATCAGTAGAAGAAAGGTAGACAGCTATAATTCGAAGTTTGATTTCATTTTTAAAAAATAAATCTAGAGCAATTGCTCTATTAGGGTGTGTTTAGCAGTTGTGTATATGTGGTTATAAGTGTTTTTGAATTATAATAGTAGCACCTTCTGCTGAACTTTCTGAATTGGTCTAGAAGTAAATGAATAAGTTGTTATTATAAAATTGGGAGGGGGGGGAATAACGAACGTTTTTCTTAATTTCGTTATCTCACAGTCACCACCAAATGTGATTCGGGATTCAGCGATCCTGTCCCTACTCTAATCCAATTTTCGCGTAACCTACAGCGGCTAAGTAAAATAGGCGTGTTAGATTTGGCTGGGTAGTTTATTCGTAGATAAGTACTCTTCTTGTCTCAAGGTCTTTTCTTTAATCTGGCTTCTATTAACTCTTTGTCTTCTCTTTATCTTCTCTTCATAACTCAACCCAGAATTACACTACATCAAATCGGGGTTAGAACTTCCTTTATTACATTAACAGTTTGGTTACGTGACTTGCGGCGAACAATCAATGGCGAGTTTTAGGGTTTATTTGTATGAACAATAGGGGTAACAACGGGGTTTACAATGGTTTATTAGTTTGTCTATGGTGATACTTTCACTTTATTAGGGGGCGGGTATTTATTGTTATTAGGGAATTTGTTTGTTTTAAGGGAAGAAATCATTATTCTTCTCTCCTGGGCAGAAATGCCCTTTATTTATAATAAACAGTTTATTTACATTCGTAATCAATTTATGTCATAAATGCCAGATATTTCTTATACTCTATATATTCACTAAATGTAATAAAAGGCCGATATGTCATTTAATGCATATATGGCCGAAGTAGCAGAAGTGACATAAGTACCATAAGTACCATAAGTACCATTTCTGTCACTTT